AAAGATTCATCTTGGCCCGAAAATGGAATTAAATCGTGAACATTTTCGTGCGATTATTTTTTACAACTTTCGACGTGGATTAACTCAGCAACAGTGCAGCGATGAACTTAAATCAATTTTTGGCGATGAAGCTCCATCAAGGACCAGTGTTTATCGATGGTATGGTGAATTCAATCGTGGTCGTATTTCACTCCAAGACGAATTTCGCGAAGGCCTCCAAAATCAGTTATTGTTCTGAAAACCATTGATGCTGTGCGTGAACTGATATTGCAAGATCGTCATGCATAGTGAGATTGAGACAACCTTAGGCATTAGTGGGACCAGTATACATTCAATATTGCATGAACATTTGACTGTCAAAAACATTTGTTCGCGTTGGATCCTACACAATTTGTCAATCGCTCAAAAAAAGGCTAGTGACGATTGGTCGAAAGAAATGCTCAAAAAATACGGTCGCGGTACTTCGAAACACGTCTATGACATCGTGACAGGTGATGAATCGTGGATTTACGCATATGAGCCCGAAAGTAAACAGCATTCGACTGTATGGGTGTTTCAAGATGAGCAAAATCCAACAAAAATTGTTCGAGCATGAAGCACTTCCAATCAAATGGTCGCCTGTTATTTCGAAAAAACTGGTCATGTCACAACCGTACCACTAGAACAACACAGAACAGTCAATTCTCAGTGGTACACAACGATTTGTTTGCCAGCTGTATTCCAAGAAATCAGGAAAACCAACCGCCGAAAACGGATCACTCTTCAACACGACGATGCGAGCTCTCACACATCGGCTCAAACAACTGCATTTTTGAGCACCCAAAACATCGAATTGATGAATCATCCGCCGTATAGTCCTGACTTGGCACCGAATGACTTCTTTTTATTCCCGTACGTAAAAACAAACTGAGAGGTCATAATTTTTCGATACCTGAAGAAGCGGTTGCTGCATTCAGAATCCATGTTTTGGAGATACCTGAAAGAGAGTGGCAAAAGTGCTTTGACAATTGGTTCAAACGCATGCAAAAGTGTATAGATCTTCATGGGGAATATTTTGAAAACCAATAAAGTGATTTTCGATTATTAATATTTGTTTTTGTTCTCTAATCCTGAATGATAAAGGCAACCCTAGTACAGTTCAACGTGAAGTCTCGAAACAAACTTTTGAATCGTGTCTATATTCTTCAATACTGCTTCCCGTCCTTCCTCACGAAACACGCATCAAGATATAACCACATAATAATATAGTTTGGCTTCGTCCATTCGCCGTTGAAAAAGCAGAAAGTTGTTTCTCTGATGAATCTTCGTCGTCGACATCGCCAGTCACAGATACTACAAAATAACATGTCGTCTGTATCAGGAACAAAAGCAATTGAACATGTTCATTAGCAAAGTCGAAAATGGCATATCAAACGTACCTTCATCTCGTACTAAAAACTCAATCCCGACGAGCCCCCAAATTTTGGGAGGCGGTATTGAGTCAGACACGAATCATTTCACTTTAGGAACAAAATAACATTATTATTAAACTATCAAAATAACAATTACATATTCTATACGTTAATTTAGGAGAGCACTGAGCACATATCTTGCCTCTGGCCATCATAGTCCCACTGTCCTCTCGCTTCCCGCAACAGTGTTGCTGAATTATTTTACCGTGTCTTTTTCTTCGTCGGCGGTAAATCCTTCAAATTCGTCCTCCGATTCCCACACATATGCCTAGGTCAATTGATATCTTTTAACAACAGACTCAACAGTAAAATTAGTAGACGTATCACTTGTATAGCAAAAGTTTTGGAGCCTGCCTTTTATCTTATTGGACAAAAAACTTGGTCTAAAACAGAAAAAAGATATATTAGACTTTTGCATTTTATCTACATTAGTCTATGGGAGTCAGACTTGGTCACTAACAGCAGCACAAAAGCTGCAATTATCAAGATACCAGAGAAAAGTATACAAATTCTTAACATATCGCCTAAAGACCACGTTAAATGTATGGAAATAAGAAGTCGAACAAAAATAAAAGATGTAATAGAACAAACCTTTACTCCAAAATGGAAATGGGAGGTTACGTCATAAGACAACAATAACTGGTGGGTCTATTCTACAACATTGTGGGAACCAAACATCGAATGACGTAATCCAGGAAGACAACGAAAAAGATCGAAGGACAACTTTACGGAGTCGGCTGGCAGAAATGGGATGAGACTGGCTGAATGCAGAGCATCAAAGAGGTCTCTTCAAACGAGCATAATAATAATAATGATAATAATAATAATAAATTTTAAATATTTTTATTCAAAATGTGAAAAACCTTGTACATTTGACCATATTTAAGAATAACATAAGCCAAGAAAAGTGACCACACCCTTCAAATCTGGGCCTTCGTTACAGCAGGAAAGCCCTAGAATAAAATACTTAAATTTAACACTGGAGAAAGTTTTATCTGAATCTCAATCCAAATTGCTATTAAAACTAATTCAATAAAAAAAAATTAACAAAAATATTATTTCTAGTAGGTTTCAGGTAACCCTGGTGTGTAGTCTAGTAGAATATAAGAGTGCAGTGTTAAATAGTGCCTAACTTCTGTTCAATGTTTAATTTTGGAAGATAACTTTCAATAAAGAGGAGGATTGGTGGAATTTCATCAAAAGGAGCTTTCTGATCCCTTAATAAGCTCTGTTTGTGAACCTCCTCCCTTGAATTCACCACTTGAATACTCTGAATTATGGTTTAGTTTACTGTTTACATTGTTTTTTTCCAAATTGTGAAGTGACTTTTTCTAATGACCTATGTTCATTTAAAGGTTTCAGTGTATTTTTACCATGCTCTGGTAATAGTTCAGGCATTGCCTCATTTGGCATTGGTCTCATGATTGAAAGCAGGAAAGGGAAACCACTGCCAGGAACTCCTCTGCGCCTTAGGCTACGAAAAGAATGTGCTCAAAGAGGTAATTTTTTTTTTTTACTTCAATATTTTCGTTGTTCTTAAATTTTCTATTTCATTCTTTCTAATATCTACCTATTTCCTGCATGTGTAGAATTAATGGATCACATCCATTCCTTTTCAAATCGTGCACATTCAAATGATTATTTATATCCTCTCGTTTATCTATACTTTGCATAACATGTCAAAGATCACATTGTTTGGGCTCTCAAACAAATGTAGTCTTTTCTCCTTGGTGAAGGGTGCTCCACACTGTAGCCGAAAAGTATGTTTATTGATCTATATTTGGAATCTCTTAGCATCTTGAAAACTGTCAATGCACTGAAAATTTTCTTCTCTAAAAATAGGGAATTGGCACTGTTACTGTTTATTTTAATACAATAAAATTTATCATAAAACCTATCTGAAACCTGCACAAAATATTTTTAAAAGTATTTGCCTGTCTAACAATATGATCATCTGAGCAAAATTAGGAATCTACACCCCCTGTTTCAGTGAGAACACGATGGGAAAAGATCCTTCCTGTTCCTGCTGGTAGTGGAGAGTTTGGTGGTGAAGAGCTGCACAGAAGTGTAGCAAATCCATGAATGTGAATTTCAGAGAAACATTTAGTTTCGTTGCATCCAAGATTGAAATATCTGTAAGCATACATTTTGGCTAAAGTAGGAAGCTACCCTCTTGCCTTCCAAAACAAAGATAAATGAAGTCAAGTGCCGACATCTGCTTTTGAATGCTATAACATAATTCTTTAATTTTTCATATTATATCTTATTTTCTAACTTCACTGAATCATAAAACATTCAGCTGACAAATTGTTTCAATGACTAATCCACCACTGAACCAGTAGTTGATGTCCTTATTATTCTTTGTACCGTTCTACTGTCAAAGAAATGGCAATGAGAACATCCTGAATAAACACACATTCCAAAATGCCTGGAAAAATCTTTACTGTTTACTTTTTCATGAGTAAAGGGCATAGGAAGTGAATTGTTTGTTCTGGAAAAGTAACTTTAAAAATGTTTTTTGTCCAGGTCCTGACCCAGAATGTGATAAGAAGTGTGCAAATGGTGGAAGATGCAATCATGAGAAAATGTGTCAATGTCCAGAAGGATATATGGGTCAGTATTGCAAGACTGCCCTATGTTATCCTCAGTGCATGAATGGGGGAATATGTACATCACCTGGTGTCTGCAGTTGCCCAATAGGTTTTCAAGGAAGACATTGTGAAGGAGGTAATGATTTTATGATGCTATTATCCTGTTTCATTTCATGCAAGTCCTGTTATGAGTTTAGGTTCTGTGTTTCATTTGCTCTAATTCATGCATGGTTACTTTAATTTGGTATTGCTCATTTCCATAATATGTAAAATTTAAATACTTCATTAGACCTGTAAGTTTGATAAAAAATATAAGTATAACATAAACCCGTTGTTGTTCTCATCTTTATCTTTGCTTCAATTGTAGACTATTGTCTGGTACATCTTGGGTTTCCTTTCCTCTTCTGGTTGATTGCCCTACTCTCTTCTTACTTTGGGCATGGTCGAATTCTACGCTGACAATTGAAGCTTCTCGCCTTCATTCTCTGGCTATCATGACTGAAACTCGTCACAGGAACAGAGAAATTGAAACGGATTTGCAGATGCATTCATTCCATGTAGAGTATCTCGCGTGTCCCTGCCAATTGCAATAAATTTGCAGAAATTCAATACTAGAGTTCAAGAAAATGTGTGCAGATTTTGCTTCTCTTTCTACATAATATATTATAAATTTCAATGATCAAGGGACAGGACAGGCATAATGAACTTAACTTGGAAATATATAACAATATGAAAGGGAGAATTGATGAAATATTTTAAATTAAATAATTTGGGAAGCTCTTTAAGGGGGATTGATTTCTCAAGGTGGTTGATTTTGAGAGGATACAACCCTTGGCAATCACTCATGCTACCACCATTTTTGGAGATGTTACTTTATTTAAAATAGACTCTTTTTTTTCCCAGTAAATCCCTTCTGAACTAAATCTAAAACATTTTTTATAACAATAAAATAAATAATCTGTAATTTACTTTTTTGACCCAATTTATTAAAAACTTGTTTTATTAACAGGTTTTGAATTTTTTTTTGTTTGAATATAATTTTCATATTCATTTTGAAAGTGTAGTACACTGTTTTTTTTCTTTTGCTAAATAAATAGTTAGACAGCAGTTAGTAGATAGTTAAACTCATACAAAATAATAAACTTGAATATTAAAATTTAAAAAAAATAAGTGAATTTTAATTATATTGATTCGATGTGAAAATATCTTTATAAATACAATACAGAAATAAAATTACACCTACACATTAACTTATAGCACTCTTCAGAACTTTAGAATATAACAGACTCCTGTGCAATTATTTGAAAATGTTTCATTAAATTTCCAACATTGATTAATGAGAGTTCTGAAAAGAAAGTTATACTACTTCTGACAGAGAAATTGCAGCTCGACACCCAAATTTTATTATATTACTAAATGCTTCATAAAATGGAGTCTCTTCTGCTCCTTCATCTAATCCTTTATCATGGTGTTCCTGTTCATCATCCCGAAATTTTTGTAATACAGTCAGAAGTTCTTGGTTTTTTTCTGGATCTGACATAAGCACCCGCAGTTGATTGTTGTAATGTTCGACAATTACAGATTCAACTGCTACAGTGCATGCCATTGCTGCCTTTGGACCTAGAAGTGCAGAACCTGAAAATATATGTAATTGTGGGTCATTCCAAAAATAACAGATTGAACTTTCATCTGATTATATAAAACTAAGCAACTCTTATCCCTTATGTAACCCAAGTGAAAGAATTGACAAACTTCCATAAGGACATGAATGGCATGGTCAGACTTGAGTGAATTAGCGTATAAATTCTTGAACTATTAAGGAAGAGTTGACCCTGCGCTTTGCTTGTCCAAGTTCAAGACAAGACACTGGCTTACACGATTTACTTAAGACATCATTGAGTCTGTCTTAAGCATTTTATTTCTGTCATTTTTTGCTGAACACTTTCAGGCATAATCGGAGTTTTTCTATATGATAAAGTTTATGTTGAGGCTTTGGCCTATATAATTAACATAAAACATTATTCATTCCTTCAAATGCATTTTATGTCAAAAAACCTTTTGGTTTTTGCTTTTATAAATTAAAATGTACCACTCTCTTTTGAACTATAAAACAGATTTCCCCAATCCCACCACTTCATTTTCTTTCGCACATCTCGTAACGAAACTAAATTTGTGCAAGGGGTCAATTCGAAAATATAAAAGATAAGACCCAATCAGGCCTTTGAATAGACCTAACTGAACAGAACTTTATATATATTTCTTATTTTATTGACAGCTTCATATATATGTACCAACCTGCACCCAGCATAAAACCTGCAACATTCCATATGGGTGTCAAAACTGTAGGTCTAACTCTGTATTTATTTATAAGTTCTTCAAATTTTGCTTTATGTTCTTTCTCTTGGTCCCACATGTGTTGAATCATGGGCCCCACACTACTTTTGCCTGTAAAAAAATGTTCAAAATTACCAAGTCTGGAAATGTTTATGATCATAAAAAAACTAATACTTTCCTTTGAATTAGCATATTATCTAAAGTCATAAAGATATTAACATTCTATTTTTTTATTATTATTATTATTGTTATTGTTTTTAATCTCCAGACAAATGCATTAGTGTATAGTTTGAGAATAAACAACTATAGTGAATGATGTGACATAATAGAATTCTCTTGTTGCATAATCTCTGTATTAACTAGCACTTCATAAATTGCTTTCTAACCTAGAACTGCCATTTGCCCAGCGTAAATTCGATCAGCTCCCAGTTCACCTGCATGGTCCACTCGTATTATAGTGTCAATTTGTTGGGCTGCGGAGCTCAGCCTTCTCTGGCTGCATCTTCTGAGCACCCTTGATTGAAGCATTTTCAGAACCTGCAAATTTTAAAATTAGTATGAATATCAAATGTGTTTCAGGAATTTGTGCTGAAAAGTGTCTGAATGGAGGAAAGTGTATTCAAAAAGACACCTGTGAATGCCCAAGAGGCTATTATGGACTGCGCTGTGAATACTGTATGTACTTCTTGGAAAAATAATTATGATTCCTTTTTTCCATTTGAACTTTGAGTTAACACATTTTGTAGAGCAGAAAATATGAAAAACTTAAAGAATAATAATGAAAATTTCTGTTGGAATAATATTTTGTGAACTAAATTGATTGTCCCCAAAAGCTAGAAAATTTGGGAGAGGTGTATTTTGGATTCAGACTAGCAAGTTATAATATAGTATAATTCATCAGATTATGAAATTTTGAGAAAAGATAAATTATCTTCAATATTTGCGATTTAATATAAAAGTTTCAATATTTTGTTTGTATCACAAAAAGAATTGTACTTTCTATCATATACCTTAATTATTATTTTTACATAAGTGCTGTAAATTAATTATGAACACATTTCAGGACTTAAAAGAATCAAGGAATCATATTTATTGTGCCTAAAAATGCCTTAACCTGAAATGCTTAAAAATGTTAATTTGATATAATTGTAACTTCAGAGGAAAAACTTAAAAGTATTCTTGGACAGAAAATGATACTGAAGATTAAATCTGTTGTATCAAATAATAACAATGCTGTTTTCTGTATCAAAGGAGAAGACAATGAATGCACTGTCAGCAGTTTTATATTTATCTTTCTGTCCTTTTAATATTCCATGGCATGATTTTAATAAAATAGATTGAAGTAAAATAAAATGAATGAGAAAAATTTACTTTCACATCAACTTCCAAAAGTGCTTGTTTAAGAAAATACACAGCCTATTTTAATCATTTTAGTGCCTAAAAATCTGATGTTTAGTTATAAAACTCTCCATAATTTTACTTAGATAAATGTTTTTCTTTTCCTTCTACTCTTTACTCCTCTATTCATCTTTCCGTGAACTGTGACCATATTGACTACAAGTTTCTGGTTCTTTTTTTATAGCAAAATGTGTAATTCCATGTCTAAATGGTGGGCGATGTCGAGGAGTGAACAAATGTAGGTGTCCTCCAGGATTCAAAGGAGACCACTGCGAAATTGGAAGACGATCACCCCAAAGGAGTACGTGCAGTAGGCCCTGTAGACATGGCATATGTAGACCTGATAACACTTGTCAGTGTGATCCGGGATGGTTTGGAAGGATATGCCACAAAAGTAATTATTTTCTTTATTTTGGAAATTGTATTTTGGCTGTCAATATAACCATACAATATCAAATATGAAATATTCCCTTAAAGTTAATATAGTTAAGTGTCTTTATTAAATACTGTTGATCGAAAACGTTTCCTAATATTTACTTTCAGAAATGTCACAATCTCAAGCACAGTCCAGTGATCTGAAAGTGAAATGAACAACCTATCAATATTAGCAGATCCAAACTACAAAATAAAGCTATGGGATATGCATACTAACAATTAAAACAGGGCTTAGCAACCTTTCTTCCATTTATAAATGGATTTAATTTTTTTTATGAAAGGTATGCAAAGAATACAGTGCTTTAATGGCTAAAATTGCGTCAGAAAAGTCTAGTGTAAACATTGAAGACTTTGTCTGTTACACCAGTACTGATTTCTTTGTTGGAAGAAATATCTGTAGTAAGTAAATGAAGCAGGTATTAAAAAGGCAATAAATAAGCATGACAAAAGAATTCTATAAGATATTCTTTGAAAAACGTGTGATCTGATCACATTTGTGTATAGTGTTGAAATCAGCTGTACTTTTATTGACAAATCTGAATATATTTTTTAATAATTGGCATTACGCATTGTTCCACTATGTTTAATATCTTGATGTACTCTCTTCCCAAATGGCACAATATACAAACAGCAAAATTTTCTATTATGGATTTCTATATTATTAGAAAAAGCTCTGATCCAATGCGAATGACAAAACATTTTTAATCTACTGTACATTTATTATGATATAAGACTGAAATTGTTTTTGTTAATAAAATTGATACTTTCCATGATTGTTAGTGCAGCTCTTGCCACAAACATTTTTTAATAACTAAAGAGTACATCAAACAATTTTCCCTGTAAATGTTTGTTTCAAAGTTTGTTATACATTTATTAGAAATGCTAATGAAAGAACAATATTTTTTTTGTGGGGTCATAACCAACTTAAATTTCTCCAAATCATTCTCAATGTCATCTTTCATCAAAAGAGAAGAGTTAATTTTATAGCATCTACAAATGAAATTGTGCTGTGTGTGTGTGTGTTTTTTTTTTTTTTAAGCACAAATTTATTTTGTACAAGACTCCATAACTAGGAATTTTGTCCTAAGGATTAATAGAATGTACATGCTCATTTTAAGTAATGGTGAGAAATTGCTTATGTAATAAAGATATTTTACTTTATTATTATTATTATTATTATTATTATTATTATTATTATTATTATTATTGGTATATCCTTCATATTCTACTTTTGCAAAACTAAGACTTCAAACCTGTAAAAGATATCTGAAAGAAATGAAGCCAAATAGACATGCACAACTGGTTCAAAGAAAAATGGTTTTTAAATCACACTTTCACAGTATTTTGGAAAGATGTCACAAAATGTCAGCGTTAAAAATAATAGTTTATAAAAATCCGTGTAATGACTGCTGTTTTCTTGAATAGTTTATTTAAGAACAAAGAAACTAAATAATCTGGTAAAGTAAATTTATTAATGAAGTTAATAAAAACAAGTTGGCTAACACAGGTAGTTTGCAGTTTTTTGTTGTAGTTTTTGTTTTGATTTTTCACATGGATATGTAACGCTATGCTTATTATGATAAATAGATTGTACACCAATTCTATTGGCCATCGTGAAGTCATTAATCCGGGGTTTTCAAATGTAATTACAAAATGCTCTGCAAGAAAATATTATATTAAATTAATCTGGATTGTTTTTATACTCAATTTTTATTAATTTTTAGTAAATACAAAATCTTTTTGAAGTTAGCTAAATTAAGAAAATTTGCAAGGTGTCTGATGTGTTATTGCAGGAACTGTTGTGTAAAATGTATAACCAATAATATTTTGTGAACATTACTATATGTTTATGGCAATAACTTGTCTGAAATGATTTTGGCTTTTTTTTAATTGAAAGTTTTTAATTTTCTTAGATCTACATGAAATGGTTTCTTCGACAATATCTCTTAATTGTATTTAAAAATATTACCTCCTGTGAGAGACATTTCTTTACAATTTTTTTCTGATAGTCAGTGTTCTTACATTTTACTAGAGAATTTTTAATAAAGCTGCCAACTATTTTGTTGTTTTTTTTCTTGTTAGTGTAAGATGAAATGTAGGCCACTCTGCAGTCAATGTGAATTTAAAAATTATTTTTCTTCTTATTTGGTATCTGATGTTTACTAAATCCGAGTTATCTGGAGCCATTTTCTTCTGTCCTATATCACCGTTTTTTCCGTTAGAATTCAACTACAATTTCAGATATAAATTTGCTTTGCTAACGCGTGTTACTGCCTTCAAATAATAGTTTTCATGTAATTTGAAAATATAAAGTTTAACATTACTTTCGGCATTAGCTCCTTGATGCCTGTGAAATTTGGTGGAAATTCTAGGCTTTTAACACAAAAGCATTAGTACTATTAATGTGAAGTTATCAAATATAGACTTGGTGCATTATTAAGTAATAATAGTTGCCTAGCTCCATAAGCTTAGAATAAGAAATATTCGTGATTGGCATGATTGAAGGGCTTAGGAATAATTGAAACAGTGCACTATTAGTGTTGCAAAGATTATAGAATTCACTAAATTACACTGAGACACTATTTTATATATTTAACATGAAATACTAGGAGGAAAAGTTTAATCTTTTTAAGTTTTCTTAAATTCTGGAATATTTCCTCAACCCAAAACAAGTTGATTTATTAATACATGTGGGGATAAGACACATTAAATATGTGTAATATTTCACCTAACTTGGTGTAATATTCACAGTATAGACTGAAATATTAAGACACACCCCTAATATTTGAACATACATTAGAACATGAGTGAAATAGTGAGCTTTGAGTGCTAAGCCAAGGTATCTCTGCCAAAAACTTTTATGGTGTATTCAGTGTTTGGCAAGAGGCACAGACTTGAATTTTTCAAGCAATTGAGACAACATATGAAAATTCCTATTCCTAATTAACATATGCCTTTTAAGCATAATGCTTGAACTAATAAGATAAAAGTAAAGCAGCAGACATTAAAATTAATAAAATTTTAGTAAATGACAAATGTGAATATGCAAAACTGAAAACAGACCAATAAAAATAAATTATATATATATATAAGGTATATGGTCCACTTATAAAATTGTTAGTGTTTCATTGAAGTTCAATAAAAGTAAATTCAAACCAAAAAGTTCTTACCAATGATGTTTGAACTAATAACATACTATATTTTGAACTTGCTAATTAATAATAGGAAAAAAATTTGAGTTCATCAAATTACGATATTCAACGTAATTTGAAAAAAATTACATAACGTAATTAGAAAACTGTCAAATTCTGGACAATATTCCGAAGCATATCTCCTAAAGCATCTTGAGCGCTGGTGTGCCATATTTAACACACAAGACATTATGTACATCACGAGATAAACTCATCAATATTAATCATTTGACGAGTCTTGGTACCTGCTTAGCACTCTCAGAGTGGAAGCATGGGCTATCCAGTGAAGTAGGATTTAACAATAAAAGTCCATGCCATTCCAACTTCAGATGCGATTGTAAATTTATTATTCAATTACCACTGTATTGGTATCATATCAACACTGATTTTTAAATCAGATATTCTAAGAATCAGTTAAAATGAAATAGATACCCGCTCCAATCTCTCCAACAACTTCCAACAATCTATCATGGATATCGTAGTTTCTTCATTAGCTACCAGATGTCAGGAGCGAGTAAAGCTACATTCAGAGCGTCCATAAAATACAAACGACAATTTTTTACATAGACGCCACAAGAAGAAGCGATGAAACTCTTAAGTTGATCTACGTCTTCTAAAGGTAGGTCTCGACTCATCAAAAGACTTTTAGCATTACGTTTTTGTTGAATGCTCGGGGTATGATATCCGTGAAACGTCGAACAATGTGTACGCCAGTAGATTTTCATATCCTTGCAAAGTATCTTCCGCGCAGACTCGAGCAAAATGGCGGCGTCGAATATTTTGTTGTCCATATCCCTGGAATCTAAGGTTTCGATCGATATTCATAGATGTCGACAGAATTTTTTACTTACATGTGTTTTTCCAACGAGTGAAGTCCTTTGAAAGATGCTAGGTGGGAAAATATGAGACAACGAACACGGTTTGGCCAGTGTTGTAGGTTCTGCAGATGAGCCGTGCTTACGGGTTGAAATGGCCCTCGCTTCACGCAGGTGCGTACGCAGCCGTAGTCTATGAATTTTAACTGAGCCTGCTCAGTGCCGTGCCGCGCTTTTCTTGTATCTGTTGATACCTAGAGGGCTTTCTGACATCGAGATGGTATTCATACTTCATCCGGTTAGAGTATATAATGTAAGATTGTGTGATGTCAGGACATATTTGGTTATGGGATAAATTTGCTCGACGGAAGAAGGGTGGCCATATTCCTAAATCTTTGAAGTCATTGCACACAGACAAACAGCATGCGAATGTGTTGTTTACATCTACTTTGAGTGTGCGTGAACTAATGAAATATGATAAGGGGATTACGGTTTGTGTCAAATACGTAAGAGTTAATTCTAACCTCTGCAATATCTTAGATTATCCCATGGTTCCTTGCTGGTGGGAGGTTTCCTAATTATTGATTTTCCAGTGGCATTGGGAATATAAAGGAAAATTAAGATATAAATAATGTAGATTTCAGGCAAATAAAATAGTACATTAAAATTCCATATAAGCAGGGTTCAGGGTATGAATCTTAGTGTCATGTCTGATTTATTATTCTTTGAATCATTAAATTGACAGATGTGTTTTGTGACAATAGTTTAGAATGTATTGTTTCAGAAATTCATATTTGAGTTTTCTTCTAAATTTAATGTGTTTATTTGAACGAAAATAATAATTTCCTTTTATTATAGGTATCCACAAATTTTAAATCGACGGGGATTTACAAGGTGCATGATGGTAAACAGAGTTATTCACCATGGAATCCTTATTACAATAGGAAAGAAATAAGCTATGTTCAGAACCTGCTTGTAGTTAAACAGTAAGTTAAAAGTTCCTAATTTATTTTGTTGAATATTATTGAAAATTTGTTCACTCTTGTTAAATTAAAGTTGGTTCATATTTTCTTATTTACTATGGCAAGTTTTTTCCCTTACACATTGTGGTATATTTCAATTGCAGGTTCTCATGGTTACCATAATGAATTCAACTGGCAGTGATTCAATTGCCATCGAGGTTGGCACCAGCAGTTCTTCAATCAACCACATGGTCTCAGATGATGAAGATGGGTGTCCCTCTTCACCTGGCTCAACACAGTATGTGGAGGGAGGCGACCTCATGGCTGCGGCAATGAGTGATGAAGTTACAGCACAGCTGGCAGCAGCAGGTTGGCAAAAAGGCCATGGTGATTTCCGTTTGCTTTGTTTTTGTTTATTTTATAGGGCTGTCAGTGAACGAAAAACTTTAAAACTGTTTTAATTTGTTACTGTAATTTCATTGAGAATATAATTTCTTGTGAAAAAGTAAAATAAGCACATTTTTGTGAAAATTATGAAAGAATTCTGTGGAATAATACTGAAATTGTTTGGTAAAGAGAAAATCTGATTATCTGAAAATCCCTTATCTGATTCTTTTGTTTCAACTGTTTTTATCATACATTTACTGTATATGTACGTGTGTAATGGTAACATTAAAAAGAGTTCATACAGAGAACTTCATAAGAAAATAACTTAAAAAGATTGAAGCCATCTGCCTTTGTTATACTTATTGCCTTGACCATTGATTTGTTATATATGCTTACTGTCAGATTGATAGGATAGTTTAATAGAATTTATCACATCAAAGAACATCTGTGAACAGCGAGTGTGAATTGAACTACACTATTTTCAGTTTTGTTCTTTAGTGGCGAATAAAATATGATTATTTTTCAATTGCATTAAAAAATGTAGTATTATTCCATGATAAGATTTTCCATAATTTTCTATTTGAGAGTGAAGCTCCCCTGTTTCCAGTAGTTTCAGGAATGTTAATTAGATTTTAGATGTTTCATAATCAAATTACGAACTTCTGGAAATAAATTTCATTAACTGCATAGGACATAACTTTTTCTTCTAAATTCTCAGAACTATAATTGTAATGTACCTATGATTATTAATTCATCTTGTGATTGAATCCATCTGTCAAATATTTTGAGCAAAATACATAATTAATTAAATTCATATATTGTTTTCTTTGACTAGTCGTCAAAAACAATTTTACTGACAACCTCTTTATTCTTCTTTGCATTACTCCTAATTTCAAATTTTCTGTTTATGTAAATTTCTTTCACTTTTTTGCACAAGTATTGTATGTTGAATTTTCTGATTTGGTAGTGTTACAAATTATAAGTTTTTTTGTTTAATTTCCCAACATAATTTTTTTGCATTCGTTTTTGCATGCTAAATGTGGCCTCGAGCATATGTTTTTTGCATAGAACTGATATATTGAAAAACTCTTTCAATCAATATGTCAATTTATTCTATGTAGTAGTTTGTTATAAATATATTGTTGGAATCTTTTGAGTGTAAGTGTCTTGCATTTCTTGACTTACTATAAAATTCCTAGTGTAATTAAAGTGGGATTGTCAGTTTTAACATATGATTCTCAATTAGACAATATTACTGCTTAGAATTAGACTATTTTTTAGAAAAATAACAAAGTCTTCCCTTCTGAACAAACGTGTACCAATATAACTAGTGAAACTTGTCTTGCGTGATTACTCATGGTTCTGGATAAATGTTTGTTTATTAAGGTGACTGTGTAATGGATGTTATGAGAACCTTTGTGTGGACCATTTTTGTTATTCGTAATACAGTTAGTATCCGTTGTTGGTATGTTTTTAATTACTGTTAATCTACATAATATTTTTGAACATATGCGTTATGAGAAAAAGCTTATACAAAATTGTTCAATTCCTGAGATTTGCACTCTTCTTTTTCACACCACTGGTTGTGCCTTTCCATTCGTGAACTTCATTCCCAACTAAACTTGAAGTTGCAATTCTCACTCTAAAGAAATATCATAGCATACATGAAAATAATTTATTAATATCTGAAATACAAATCAATTCAAAAAATAAGCAACTCTTGCTCACTGTTCTATTGCGTCCTGACACAAAGAACTTGTATATGCGGTAATATGAACATGCCTTTTCCTTTTTTGGCATCATTGTTCAAATCCATACACTCTTCAAGAAATTCTTATTGTTGACTACAGGTTTATCTATGAAATATGCCTAGTCGTTGGCTGCAGAGTTGGGTAACCACTAAAAAGAGCAAAGATCTTCATGGTCTTGAGGAAAAATCAATTACTTCCATGAAAAAAGGCTGAAGTTGGAGAAGTTCGCTTAATCAAACGTCCGTTTCAGTAAATTCACTGTAACTGAGGTCTTTTTTTGAGATTTCTGTTATTTTTAGGCAAAGTTGGCGAGTATAAGAACTTACCGTATAATTTGAAAATCCACAATGTTATAAAAGTTTTATTACTTTTGGCTCTAAAAGACCAATGGTGTTCAAAAGTGAAAAAGATTTATTAATATAAATATTTCCTCTGAAATATTAGGTCAACTAACTTACCAGCCTAGTTTCTACCTGATGTTCACTTGTAGAGGAAAAGAGTTGACCCCACTGCAATTTTCCCCCTACTGTAGAAGTATTTTGGCCTTAAAGTGCCTTGAATTCAGTATGTCCTTTTGTGACTGGCAGCAATTAGTAATATTCAGTGAATAACTTAACATCATATTGCAGGTTTCAGATTTGAAATCATTAGTCTCAAATCTTGAAAATATGACCTTCAAGAATACCTCCTAAGTGTGGTGATGTCGGGTATTACTTGTATAACCCCCTCCCGTTCAATAACATTCCCAAGAGGTCTGTTTTAATTACACAGATATAGAGAAAGAAAGGGATGGTTTTGATGTAAATGCATTGGGAGTGGTTTTAACTCACCCTTTAAAAATATGTGTGCATGTGCAGACCAGTGCTGTGTTTCTAATTTGCATGCCTGTTAATTGTTAATATGATAAATATTGAAATTAATTTCGTTCATAATGCTTATACAGAATATATCAAATTGTGAACTTTAATGTTGACTCTGAACTAGATGTAATATAAATTGAACAATTTTTAATTATTGCATAATTGGTGAATAGATTAATTAGGACATTTTTGTACCAGTTGTTTGTAGGTGGAAGAACTTCACTACCAAAGTTTTCCCAATTGTGTTCATAAAATCAGGAAAGTTTTCACCAGATGTGATTTTGTTTCTACTTCTACACTTTTCTCATTGTCTTGTTCTTTCTCCTGCTCCTGTCCCTCTCCACTCACACACATTTTGTTCTAATCCATCTAATTTATTGGCTTTTTTTTTTTTCTTCGAAACTTCATAACAAGAAGCATAAAACAAATTTACTCTATTGAAGCACTGTATAATAATTGAATACAGAAATATTCGACTTGCAGTGACTTTATAAGTTTTGTTTGAAAAATTCTCAAAGCCTCATTATTTATGAGAAATTAATTCTTGGGACAGTTGATTTGATTATTACTAACTGTTAACACAAAAACTTATTTTTGTTGATACTCTAGTTGAATAAAGTCTTAAGTGTTTTCACAGATAGATCTGTTTAGATTGTGGGAGAACCGTTATTCATAAGGAATTTCATAAAGCTTTCTATACAAGGTTGTCATTCAGGGCGAGATTGCAGTTCTCAATGTTTTAATTTATAGATGGGATCCCAAGGATATATGTAGGTTTGCATTGAATGTTTTTGTTGTAGGTGTATAAAGTTTTTGGTCTCTTTCACATTTATTGATACATAAGAAATCATTAATGGTCCTAGTTTACTGCAAGCAGTACATGCATTTGTAATGAAAAATTTCTCTTTACAAAAAAAAATGTAATTAATGAGATATTGTGAAGATGAAAATTTGTACAGATATTGTTAATACTGAAAATTGTCTATTTTGAAAAATAATTAATAAATTTTGTTGTTTATCAAAAATTTATTTTAATCTAAGTGTGTTTAATATCTAATTTGGTTGTAAGCTGTACTTTCAACACTAACAGATTAAATTATTTACATTTCTTTGTAAAAATTATTAGGAATGCACTCCCTATATCAAAAATAATTTGTTTGCTAACATAATTTTGTTTAGGGCCAGTGGGTGTTGCAGCTGCAGCTGCTATTGTCTCAGCCAAGAAGAGAAAACGTGTACATTCATTTGAAACCAACCCGTCCATCAGAAAACGTCAACAAAATAGGTTGCTTCGGAAGTTGCGAGTAAGTTTGATGTACACACACTTTTATTGTTGGTTAAATTAAAACGCATATTTTTTAGAATGTTGCCTCTAATGTCCTGGTTATTAATTTTCAGCAAACAATTGATGAATTTGCTACTCGTGTTGGGCAACAA